CTATAAAATAAAAAAAGTTTTTTTTATTTTTATTTTTATAAAAGTCTTACTTAAAAAACATAATATGAAAAATAATTCAACAACTATATATAAAAAATATAATTAAAGTTGATAGAACAAGCTGACGTATAATACATATGATATAAGTACAAAATATTTCACCTGAAACACAAAACTAGCACCAGGCAGGCGTGTATGTGTATCTATCTATCTATCTATCTATATATATATATATATATATATATATATATATATATATATATATATATATATATATATATATATATATATATATATATATATATATATATATATATAATATATATATATATATTTATATATATATATATATATATATATATATATATATATATATATATATATATATATATATATATATATATATATATATATATAAATATATATATATATATATATATATATATATATATATATATATATATATATATATATATATATATATTTGGGTAGTTCAAAAACAATTTTTTTTGAAAATTGCATATTTCCGCAAAAAATTATGATGCATTACACATAAGAATACAAACTAATTTAAAAAAAAAAACAGATAAAAAAGCATTATTGAGTAAGCTGCCAAATTTGATTTGATTGTTTTTGTTTTTAGCCTAAAAAAGATTTTGTAGGAAAAAAGATTAAGATTCTTATATAGCTTTAAACTTTTTTCAGTTTTGTAATTTTTACTATTTCAACTTTTAGTAGAATGTTATAAAAGCAGTTATTATTTGTATTGTGCTAAATCACCAAATACTTGCTACTTATTGCAACTTTTCCCTAAAATCTTTGTTTTGTATAATTTTACCCTAAAAATATGAAATAATATTTCAACTTTTTCCATATTTTGATTTTTATGTAAAATAAAGACACATCTTACCAACCTCACAATCAAATGTGTCATTTTTCAACAATTTTTTAAAATTAAATCCCAACCCAGGTGGTTTTTTGAAACGCACTAATTTAGTATAAAGTATATATAATAAAATGACGCTTGAGATCGAATATAACTCATAAACAAAAACGATCTTTATTTTTCGAACTATTTATGCTAAAAATTCAGAAAAAAACAAATTTGTGACACACTTTTTTATTATTAACATTTATAACTTGAACTTTAAAATCAAAAATCAAAAAAAGATTTGAAAACAAAGTGAACCAAAAATAACAAGACATTTTTATTTGAAGATAAAAAAATGTTAGAGAAACTTTCTAAAATGAGGAGATTATTCTTTATTTTCATTACAGGCATGGTTAAAACGAGGAGATTATTCTTTATTTTCATTACAGGTATCGTTAAAATGAGGAGATTATTCTTTATTTTCATTACAGGTTAAAAAATCGAATTAAAAACTTTGATTCAATATGTAATAAAATTTACCAAGTAATAAAATTTCAGTTTGAAAAATGGAAACTATAACATCTAAATTTAATTATAACAAATTAGGCATCTGTTTGAGTATTTGTGTAGCCCAAAAAACGTTTCATGTAGCCAAAAAAACACATGGTAGCTTTCTTGTAACAGAAAAATTACACTAAAATCATAACATACAAATAGTAAACGACTTTTTTTTAATTCTTTCATTTGTCATTTTCAAAACTTTTTTTAAGTTAAATGGGAAAACTTTTTTTTTAAATCTTTACATGTTGCCAACAAAATACAAACACAATGAAATCATTCGTTGCCAACAAAATACAAACACAATGAAAAATATATTAATACAACCAATGAAAAAAATTACATATTGACTTTTTCACATTTATTTTGTGTACACACTTATGATGGACTTGCTCTCTGACATAGTAGTTACTTATAGGGGCAGTTTAACAGATTTCTCGCTTTCTGAATCCACCATCAGACATGAAAAAAAGAGAGTAGTAAACACAAATGCACCTAAATAATGAAAAGATATAACAAAATCTGCAAGTCAAGGTAAACTTCTAATAATCACACACTTTGATTAAAATTTTTTGCAAGATATTACAAACAGTTCAAAACAAAAAAGAAATTGTTTTGTTGTGCTAGTATCGATGGTGATTTAAAACTTCTTGATATTCCACCAATTGAACTACTGGAAAATCTCATCATGATATTTTAGTAAACATTTTGGATGAAAATAAGCTAAGAACTTATATAAAAGTCAGTACTTTGACACAACTGTAATTAATACTGAAAATATTCCAGCACAAACAGTTTCTGTCAAACACAGGGTTTAATTTTATAACAGCTTGCATTTTACATATTACAAGCTTCACTGTAGACAGTTTTAGGGAAAAGTTTTAAAACTTATGCTCCTAAAAATCTGATGTTCAAAGTTTTCTATTGGAACGCAATAAAGGAATCTTTAGATAAGATTCCTTTATAGCAAAAATGAGAAACTGTTCAATTTTGCAAATATGCACTTGCCACTATATTTACTATTTCCAAGAAGTGATTATAAAGAACTAGTGGAACTTACTCTTACCTACTTATTTTAGATGTAAGCTATTTCTATACTTTATACTGTGTGGTTTGTGCATTCCTCTTTAGTTTCCTCAGCACTTTTTCAAAATTTGAAAGCATACTGGCAGATGGCCCAGTATAAATGTTGGGTAGAATCTTATTATACAAAAGCAAATAATGTACTAGAGGGAATTGAAGGGACATACGTAGTAATTGGATAAAACCTTGATTCTATTATGTCTTGAAGATAATGAGAAAAAACAAGTTGCAAAAGCTCTTTTCCCACAACTTGTTCTTACACACCATGAGAAGTCTGGTATGTAAGAACAAGTTGAAAAGAAATCCAATCTTTCTGAAAGATCTAGACTTCACCCACAAGACATTGGTTAGTTGGAACTTGTGGTTTATTTTAAGTCTGTTAAACTTGAGTAAAGAGGATGACAAACCTTGATAAACTATTTTTCATATTTCTGGGGCTTTATCAACCAACATAAAACTTTCATTGAATTTGTTTGTCATATTTAATGTTATCAACAACTGCTCTGAACTGGAAATTACGCTTGAAATGGAGGAAATTTACTTATGCAAAAATAAAAACAAATTGCACCTTCGATTCCTTCTGTGCAACAAGAAAGAGCAAGGTCAACGGTCATTGTTGGATTGAAAATTTATTTTATTACAAAACTATGACATTCTAAATACATTTGAATACATAACAGTACTTATGTCAAAATCAATTTTTCAATGGCAGGGTAGACTTTTTTAAAAAAATATGCAAATAATAGTTCATTTTGTGCTTTTTAAGTAAAAGTTCATCAAACTACAGTAAGGAGCATGGGGTTGATTAAAAAATAACCCTAATATATATATATATATATATATATATATATATATATATATATATATATATATATATATATATATATATATATATATAATATATATATATATATATATATATATATATATATATATATATATATATATATATATATATATATATATATATATATATATATATATTAGGGGAGTCAAAAAAAGTAAATTTTCAAAACAAAAAAACCATACCCCCTAAATTTGGGGCAAATATCTTGAAAATAAGCCTCAAAAAGTTTAAGCGCTCCCAGACCACTTTTGACCCCCCCTCAAGCCCAAAATTTAGGGAAAAAAGGACCGAAAAGTGGTTATTTTTGGGCATCTTGAGGGAGGGGTTATATATATTTTTTTTAATTTTTTTTTTTTTTTACTTACTATATAAAGGCCTATATTTTAGTTTTAAAATGTATGGTTTTTTTAATAATCCTCAAAAATTTATGTTTGGTGGTATAAAAAATCACGAAAATTTGTATTTAATTGGGGGGGGGGGGGGAGTAAAGTTATATATATATATATATATATATATATATATATATATATATATATATATATATATATATATATATATATATATATATGAATATTTACTCTAAGTAACTAACAATATAATAACCCTAATTAAATAAATAAGCCCTGTGTATATAAACACAAAAGAACCCCTCTATTTTATTCCGAAACATGAACAAGGGGCAACCATTTGTATACATTGAAAAAACCGCTATTTATCTTTATTGAAATAAATAAAAAAAAATTGTATATTTAAAATATTATGACAGATAAAAACTTAATACATTTGTATTAATCTAGTTTATCTCTTTATCTTTTTCTGCATCACACCAAACCCATCATTTAACTTAATCTTTGAAGTTTTACTAGATTTTTGTTCTCGTGATCTGAATACAGATCGAACTTTGTCTACAGTGAGCAATCTGTTTTTTTTTTCAGTTTCATTCGAATATCTTTGAATATACTGCGCCATCATACCTATAGACCGTTCTGAATGGTCATTTACAAAAATCAAAGTTTCTGCATATTTTTGAAAACTTTTAAAGCAGGATTGGGTATGCCAATATTTTGGCGGAAGTGAGAGCCAGTCTTTAACTGGTTGCTTATCAAGACCAATCATATCAAAAATCAGGTAAGAAAAGTCATCAACTAAGACAGACAAGGATGGTGGTTTTTTTCCAATATTTTTATTCATTTTATAAATTTTTTTGATATCTTGTTTTACTTTGTTCTCAGGCTTATAATAGTCAGAACTAAGCATGTCAAATAAAAGAATTACTGATGCAATTTTTGTCTTCTCCTCTAATGTTACATCATCATCTAGCAAAGCTAGAGGTATCATTGTTGAGTCCAAATACCAACAATGTTTATACTGAGATTCCAATACAGCATCAACAGCAGCTGGGTTTGTACATACCTTCTTGTACAGATGCATTTGATGTATGGCTGTAATATCAAGAAAAGGAGCTTTGATGACATCCTCAGATTGTAAATACCATTTTGCATAAAAGCATATAATAAATTCTGTAATAAGCCTAATTTCAGTTTTTAATTTATCGTTTTCTAGAACAAATGTAAGTTGGTTGGATAGAAGTTGAAGTTTTAGATAATAAATTGCTTTTCCTAAAAATCTTGCATGATGAAT